AAGTGCATCGACCAAAAACCATCGAGGTTGAAAAACATCCATGTTTTTAGACTAGATTAGTAACCTCTAACATTAAATTCGTGTGCAATAAAATTTAATTTGACAGTGTTCGGTTTATCAATTCTCGGAAGAAGAGTACGAGAAGAGGGGGCAGACTCTACGCCTACAGCGTATTTGTTGACCATATCTCAACCTGCGAAATTAATATGAAAGAAGAGGACAACACTTGAATACATTGTAACCATTCGTTATCATTTCATATTTTAACATTGACGGTATTTTGGCCAGGAGAATTTTTCATTAAGAAACAAAACGTTGGAAAAGAAAAATCATGGATCAGAAAACATCGATCTTCATAAAACATCGGTGTTAACACATCGATGTTTAAAACATCGACATCGATTTCGATGTCGCATCCATACAACACCCTTCTCCTCCTCCAGCCGGCCGGCTGAGATAGCTCACGAAACAAACACTGCAGCGTTTCTCATCAGGAAGTCCTGCGGTTGGATTCTCGGCGTGAAGAATTTTCGTCACTAGTTGTGTAGCAAGGTTGAATTCAGCTAGTATATGGCGAAGATTTGTAGCTTTCCGCTGCTTGCTTGAGACACTGATGTTTCCAAGCAAGTCATTTGATTTGGTTATTATTTCCGTTAGTGAAGAGAACGTTAGCGGCGGCGATGGTGTAACGGTTAGCGTACTGGACTGTTGTACCCAAGTTGGCGAGTTCAAACCCGATCGAAGCCGTGGATTTTTAAGGGCGAAAAAATCCTTCATACGCCTTCCTTCGGAGGGGAAGTAAAGCCGGCTGTCCCATGTTTGTAGATTTACTTGCATGTAAAAGATCCTCAAGCCTAAATGACGCCTCTGAGCTAAATTCAAGTCGCCTGTTTCTCGCCCAAGAAATACCTCCTTTCTCCGGTAGTTGGTGAAAGGAGCGTAGCGAAATTTGCGTGGTCAGACGGAAGAGCAGGCCTAATGGCCTGAGTCTCGCCACGTAAAATAAGGCATAATTCAATTCAATTCAACGTTTTATCTCGGGAGCTTGCAGTGTTCATCGTGCGTGTGGTTGGGAACGTTCCCAACGGGTAACGGTCCCAATCAGAACATTCTCTACGCTTCGGACTGGTCTACATGTGTGGTTGTATGTAAGGGTGTGTAAGTAAGGGGTAAGGAATTGTCAAGAAATAGAAAGGAAATATCGCGCGAGGTTCGCGGCTATTTTTGATAGGGTACGATTCATCCTCCTGATTGAAGAAACCGCGGAAAACTACCGATCAGAACAGCCGCTTGCTAGAAGTCTCTCCCAGACGCGGCTGAATTCGATCCAGCTCTCTAGCTGGAGTCGAAAACCTGTCACCGTTGGGATTCATACCGAAGATCTATAGGTCAGAGATGCTCTAGAGACAGTAACAATGCTAATTCTGAGCTGTATAAACCAATGTTCGTCAGCTCTAGTCCATTATTATACATCGTTTCTATTTCCAAAAATAAGTGAGTGCCGGAACAGTACCCTAACGAACGGACAAGGAACCGCGAATGATGTTTGTGTCCTCATCCTTGTCCCTTCATCTCCCCTTACACACACACATGTGCGCACAATCAAACTCATACGCTCTACACTATCTACTCATGTTGGGAGACAGGTTGGAAAAGTATGGATGGGCGGTGCCCCCCTGGTGGAAACACCCAGAGATGAAAATCCTCCGCAATCTGACGAGTAGATGGACTTCGGATTTCACGTCCAAGCTGGAAAGGACCACCACCTCTTCAAGAGATATTGAATTGAATTGAATTAATGCCTTATTTTGCGAGACTCGGGCCATCAGGCTGGCTCCTCCGTCTGACCACGCAAATTTCGCTATGCTCCTTTCACCAATTAGCAGAGAAAGGAGGTGTATTTTGGGCGAGAAACTGGCGATTTGAATTTAGCTCAGAGGCATCATTTAGGCTTGAGGATCTTTTACATGCAAGTAAATCTACTAACATGGGACAGCCGGCTTTACTTCCCCTCCGAAGGAAGGCGTACAAAGGATTTTTTCGCCCTCAAAAATCCACGGCTTGAACGAACCCGCCAACTTGGGTTCAACAGTCCGGTACGCTAACCGTTTCACCATCGCCGCCGCAGAGATATAACATGCACTTTCCTTACGAGACATAAGCATTGTATTTCAAGCATCTGGAAACACCAAATAATCAATTATTCAAAACGTCCAGTCGCTATTGTAAGCACCAAACATTTGTGTGTTCTATGAGCTGTGACGACAAATTGGAGGTCACATTCTGGCGTTCTGTTTCAAATCGGAGGAACGGCAGAGACGGAGGTAAAGAGAAGATTTTTTATCTCAGATCATCCATACATTTAGAGGACCATCCATACATTTATACGACGATATATTCTTGGCAATCCCATATTCGAATTTTCCCCGACCGTTTCCTCCTGATATCCCCACATGTTACCACCCGCGTGTTCGAACCCTTTCCACGAAAGCTTTTTCCCTGTTGGCGATCGTTTCGTCTCGCCCTAATACGTGTGTGTTACGCGACTTCCGTCGCAGAAATTGCTGATCGAAACCTGCTCAGCTGCGAGGCAAGAGGCAAGATGTAATATCCAGCAATGAATTCTCGCGTAATTTTGTTATTATTTACGTGTGGAAAACAAAAGAACGATGTTATCTGCGGCGCAGCGCCGTCCGAAGAAAGTCGCTCCTCAGAGATCGTATCGTGGAGGCGGAAGAAAAGCATTCTTTCAAGAAAATAACAGCTCAATGAAAACAATGGAAGGAAATATTTCAAAAGTATGCAATAGAAATCACACGCAGATATTCAACTACAATGTAACAATTTAGCGAGACTAACAAAAAGGCTAATACGTACTATGGTATACTTATCGAGAGATAACTAAATTATTTCAGTATTAAACTTACAATACAATTCATCAATAACATTTTGATGAACTGTAATATATTTTATTCTAGTAAAATGGATAATACAAGTATTTCTTCTACTGCACGAACATTGACTGGAATTACGTTAAGAATGTACTAAGTAGATATTTCTTAGGACCTCGTTAAAAAGAGTATCTGATAATATTAAATGAGTATTAAGAATATGTATGTCAATACTTCTCACAATATCTGTTTTTTATATTAGCGAATAATTAACCTAATTCATTAATTATTAAATTCATACCCACAGAGATTAACATCTAAATACACGACACAATTAAGAAAATTCAGGATACTCAAATTAAACCTCTCCTGTTTTGATTGATTTTATACAACTAATTTTCAATATTTTAAAAATTGTATTTAATCTAGACACATTAATATTTAAATATAATATTAACTATTCAACAATAATAAATATTACCTTCATTCTTTGTATCTCATGTCTAAATAAAAAAAAACCTGAAATTTGAAACTGAAGAAATCATAAGTATTAAGACAACCAGTAAAAGGAACAAAATTTAATTCATTCTAGAACGTACATTTTGTTCCTTTATACCATGTCTATTAGGGAAGATAAGTTCACAGGAAACAAATTTCACTTTATATGTCGATATTTAAAATTCGGTTTATTCATCTCGAGCAATTGCCAACATGTATCGCAAGTAACAATACAAAATTTAACTCCTGCAGTAAGGTTTTTAAAAATACAGTAAAAGAAAAATTGAAAATCACTTTTTGAGCCTCTAGAAAGATTTTAGTGATTGTTATTTAATAATTTTAGTGATTTTATTAAGTAATATGTATGTACGTGACATTTTAAGACAATTGTCAGTCTTTGCCACGTACTAAGGGTGCCTGTCATGCCTAGGCCTAGTTTAATTCCCAAGCTAGAGGTGGGGGCAGAGACATATGGTGAAAATAACGTATTTCTGAAACTAGCACAATCCGCGACTCGAACCAGGGAACATATCACAGGAATCTAGTACGCTGCCAATGAGCCTTCCTAGTATCTTTCTTAAACAGGTTTTCAGAAACCAAACGGTCAAGTCTTAGAACGTGCAAAAGCGAACTCCCGCGCTGCGTGAGAGAGGCAGAGCAAACCGCCCCCTGGCGGCGTGTGCGAACTTCGCAATCTGTGGTTGCAACAATGGCCAGTGCGTAGCGCCACCAGCTGCGCTAGCGGCGGTCTCTCGACTTACAACAGATATAAGTTTCGGACTTTTTCATCAGTTTCTGTATCAGTACTCTGCGCTAGATTTCTTTCAGTCGTCTGTCATTTGTAGTAGTAAATTTGTGTGTATGAATAACGTGTATGAATAATTTAATTATCTTCATCGTATCTTCATCTTGTACTATTCACTGTTACTACACATTGTGGTAATTGTAGGGTTCTATTGAGGTTATCGTAAGTAAAAGTGCTGAGCAATATTAAATAATTGCACATTTGAAAAGATAATATAACGGCATTTTCTTTTACTTCAACGTATTACTTTAAAATATGTATAATTCCAGTCTTCGAATTTGTTTAGCGGAAAGGAAAAGATATATGAAAGAACTGCTAACCAGGGGACTCTTAAGCGAAGAAACACCAAACCGATAATTAAACAGATGTAAAATAAAATATACATTTTAATTTCCAACTATTAGTATCTACATAATATTTTGGAGTTCGGATTATCGTGTTGCTGTCAGTTTGTAACTCACAATGGTCAGATATACGTGAAATGAGTGACACTAGAGGTAGGTCTAAAGTATTAGGCTAATGAATAAACACTCTATTCCACCTCCGTACCACCTTCAGCTGTTACACCTGTTAAATTTTTTGGTCGCATGAACTGCAACGACACCACTGACCATTTATACAATTCTTTACAATTCAGGAAATAATTTTATAATCTTTAGAAATTTGAAGACATTAAAAATGTAAGATGTAATTTGGAAAGACAGTTTGAAAGTGAATATGTCGCACGTAACTAAATGCACTGGGCAATGTATTAAGATTTGTTGCATTGGGCTGTTACTAAATCTCGTTTATTCTGAATGTTGCAGTTATTACTGTGCGCTTTGGCGCTGGCCGCGGCGGTGGCGGCGGCGGCCGCCGAGGGCGACGCCAAGGCCGGCGAGGGCAAGGCTTCCGAGGCCAAGGCATCGGCGCCGGCGCCGGCGCCGGGGGCGGACGAGGAGAAGAAGAAGAAGGAAGAAGTGGCGAAGGCGCTGCCCGGCAAGGAGGCGCAGGACAAGTCGGACGCCCAGGCGCAGGCGTCCGCGCCCGACGACGACGAGAAGACCAAGCAGTACAAGCGCGGCCTCTTCGACCTGGGCCTGGGCTACGGCAGCGGCCTGGGCCTGGGCCTGGGCGCGGGCGCCCACGGCTTCGGAGGCGGCCTGTCCTTCGGCGGAGGCGGCGGCGGCCACGACTTCGGTTCCTATGGCGGCGGCCACGACTTCGGCTCCTACGGCGGCGGCTTCGGCCACGGCCACCAACACGTCAAGACCATCACGCTCACCCAGAAGGTGCCCGTGCCCGTGCCCAAGCCCTACCCGGTGCACGTGCCCGTCGAGAAGCCCTACCCGGTGCCGGTGGAGAAGCCGTACCCGGTGCACGTCAAGGTGCCCGTCGACCGTCCGTACCCGGTGCCGGTGGAGAAGCCTGTGCCCTACCCGGTCGAGAAGCGCGTGCCTTACCCCGTCAAGGTGCCCGTCGACCGCCCCGTGCCCGTGCCGGTGCCCGTCACCAAGCACGTGCCCGTTCCCTACGAGGTGAAGGTGCCCGTCCCGGCGCCCTACCCGGTGCACGTGGACAAGCCCTACCCAGTCGTAGTGGAGAAGAAGGTGCCCGTGCCGCAGCCGTACCCGGTGCACGTCAAGGTGCCCGTGCCGCAGCCGTACCCGGTGCACGTGAAGGTGCCCGTCCACGTGCCCGTCGACAAGCCCTACCCCGTCCACATCAAAGTTCCCGTCGACAGACCCGTCCCCGTGCCCGTGCCCAAGCCTTACCCGGTCACTGTCGAGAAGCACGTCCCCTACCCGGTAGAGAAACCCGTCCCGTACCCAGTGAAGGTACCGGTTGACAGGCCGTACCCAGTCCACATCCCCAAGCCGTACCCCGTGACGGTCGAGAAGCACGTGCCGTACCCAGTCGAGAAACCAGTACCTTACCCCGTAGAGAAGCCGGTGCCCTACCCGGTCAAGGTGCCCGTTGATAGACCCTACCCCGTCCACGTCCCGAAACCCGTGCCCTACCCGGTCGAGAAGCCCGTGCCCTACCCGGTCGAGAAACCGGTGCCCTACCCAGTCAAAGTGCCCGTCGAGAAGCCGTACCCGGTGACCGTGGAGAAGCCCGTGCCGTACCCGGTGAAAGTCCCGGTGCCCATCCCAGTGAAGGAACATCACCACGGCGGAGACGGCGGCTACGGAGGCGGTGACTTCGGCGGTGGCCACGACTTCGGTGGCCACCACTTCTAGAACCACACACCCCTGGTTCAACCACCACCCAACCACCGTACCTCAAATGCACCCTCGTTGACTGTTTTTTTTATTATTATTATTTTCTCTGTATTTATAACAAACACGCGCAATAAATGTATTACGCAAAGCCTGGTTTGGTCGCTGACGCCCCCTCCCGCGGCCGCGAAAGCGCCGTTCTGCCCTGCGCCCCCGCCCCTCCCTTTCTCTCCACCGCCGCCGCTGTGCGGAATTAGAGCGACGCCGCTCGCACCCACGCATGCGCACACGGGGATATCCGCGCTCGCGGTTGCAGCGCCGGCCATCGGGCGGCCGCGCCCAGGCGGAAACGAGGAACCTCTGCGAGGGAAGGAGCTGGAAAGAATTACCTCCTCATTGCGAGTCGAACACATCACCACGTTTCAGAGAGTCAGATAATTGATGGTGAGCATCACGTGAGTCGAATATCAACCAATACACAAACATTTTAAAAAATTCCGCACCTGAAGTATTTCATGTTGAATATGATGAGAAGATCTTAGGCGATGAGTGATGACTGAATATTCTACAGTTGTTATGAAGATTGACTAGCAACACACTCGCAAATTGTTACTGATTAGACGTACTTAAAATATTTTACAAAATTTGCAAAGTTGTCTTACATTTAACTATATTTTTCTACGGCATTAACAAGGAAAATTTACTTCAATATATTCATAAACCAATAAATGTAAACATTATTAAATATATGAGGGCTTTCAACGAGAGCCGAAGAATATTTAATGAAATTGTATGTTCGACGACGACGACGACAATGTTTTAAAGGTTATAAATAACTCCAAATACCAAAGAAAATGTTTTTTTAATAAGTGTATACAATCAAATGATTGCCCAATTTTTTTAAACTGCGAAAAGCTGTTGTGTCTCCGAGTTCTCTATACGAAGATCAATGAGCGAGTTATTTTATTGGTGGAAGGAGACGAACCTTAGTTTTCCCCGTTTCCTCTTTCTATCTTTCTAAACAGATCACCTAAAAATGTCATTATAAAACTTTTCTTGATTTTTTCCCTTTCCAGGAGCTTACTTGTTACCCTGTGATTACTTTTACACCACACTAGTCTTATAAGTTGTTGAATACAACAGATGGCATTAGGCGGAGCTTCCTTCACTTCTATAAACTCTGAGAGAAAACATTGCTTCATTCATGCATTTTTTCTTATTTAAATTCAATTTATATTAACATAAATATCATCAAATTCCTGCAGGTAATTATTACGATGGTTAATGTATATCAAAATGGTTACTCTTTGTGCGCTTTTAAACGAAAACCGAAACAAACACTGTATTGTATTGCTCCCATGGGCGAGGACTTAATAGCCTTTCTTTCATTTTATCATATCTATCATATCTTTCAGTTTAAAGCAAACTACTCCTATAAAGTTAAAATTAAAATAACAACAGTAATATACATTTTCATTCTAGAGCTTTTATTACTGTAGCCTATATATCTTTATTGTACCATAATCAAGTGAACATAACGTTAGCGTGTGTCGATATGCAAAATTAAATGTGCTCCCAAAACAGGTTGTGAGAGTTTTCAATTCGTAGCTACCTTCAAAATCACAATACATGCTATATGTAGCATTGTGTGTCTCAGAGCGAACGTTTAAATGTTGAATTCAAGTAAACGTCTGCTTGTTCGTTGCTCCAATAATGGATAAAAAGAATAAATGTCTCATTTCTCTAGCCAATGTATTGCGTAAGTAGCAATGGCAGAAACGGTGTCACGGAGGGATTCGTACGTATGTGGTCCTCACGTTTTATGTAGTATGTGTGAGCGGGTGCCAAATGTAAACCTGCGCAGACCCGCTAGGCAAACCGGCCTCCGCCCGGATTGGGGTTCGTTGCTCCGACGGCGCGGCGGCTGCTGCTGCTGCTGCGGCGACTGACCGACGCGACGCCCAGCGGCACTACCCTCCGCCTCCGACGTCCCCGCTTCCGCCTCTCCCTTCCCGCCTCCTCCGCCCACTCCTCCGCCGCCTCCTACTCCGCCTCCGACACCTCCACCACCTCTGCCGCCGCCTCCTACTCAGTCACCGTCGCCTCCGCCTCCAACACCTCCGGCGCCTCCACCACCTCCTCGGCCTCCGCCGCCTCCATCGCCTCAACCGCTTCCGTCCCCCCCGTCACCTTCATCACCTCCACCACCTCCACCGTCTCTGCCGCCTCCGCCCCAGTGTGCGGGAGCGAAAAAACCGCGCGTCGGTCACTGGGACAGAAACAGCTTCGATGACATCGGAGTCGGCGAAGGCGACGGTAACGGTGCCCACAGAGACAGTTAACAGAGTTCACTGCGACGGCAGGGAGGATGGCGAAGGCGAGGTCGATGTTGATTGTGACGGTAATACTAGTGATGGCGGCGGCGATGGCATCGATTGCGAGGGTGACTGACGGCGCTGATAATGGAAGCGGCGAAAACAATAACTGCAGCGGCGTCAGAGACGTCGGCGACAGATCGTCAGTGATACAGTGTGACATGTGACAGCGACGACGTATGAGTCAACGGAAGCGGTGACGGCGACAGTGGTAGTAACAATGCGGCGAGGGTGGCAGTAATATTTTCGGCGTGGGTGACAAAAGGGAGTTTGTGCACGCAACAGCGGCCAGCATTATCAATCTTCTGCGCATGCGCAGAATTACTAAAGTGATACCAAACTGGAACTGTGCATGCGAAGATCCATAGTGCTTTAACGTTCGAGGGTGTACAAACTCCCTAAAGACAGAGAAGGTGACATTGTGAAGTTGAGCGTGATCGCGTCGGTGATTGGCCAGCGATGCAAACGGAGACGACTACAACGGAATCGGGGGCAACGACGCCTACAATCACGTCAACAGCATCGGAGGCGAAGGCGGCAGCGACGGCGACGTCGTCGGCAAGAGTGGCTTCGTCGGTGCTGAAGTCAGCATAGGGAAGGCAGACGATGACTGTGACGATGTCGGCGTAGACGACGGAGGCGGCGCGGGTCAACCTCCGCGACACGCCGCGGCGGACTATAGTCATCGTGGCGAGCGAGAGTCGGTAGTTCACCTTCTGCGGAGGAGGAAGTCTTCGCGGATCATCATCATGTGGTGAAAAGCTTCCTCGTCCGAGCCACGCGCTCTGGAACGACGCTTCGGAACAAAGCAAAAGACTCATGTTAAGGAGATTCTGACATCTTTTAAAAAATACAACACGTTAATACTATTTTCAGCAATCTATTTCATTTTAATTTAATGTTTCGACCCCTATTGTGGTCGTTTTTAAATATTATTTATGGGATTCAGGGGTATAAATGACTTTGCTGAAATAATAAAAATATTGAGTAGCATTAAAAGAAAAATGCCAATATTAAATGCCATTTGAACAAAAAACAATGAGTCTGTTGAGGTAAACATGTTCAAATCACTTGGTCAAGTAACAGGGCTAAACTGGTGTGTTAGATACATGCCCCTTGACATGTGTACTAATATTGAATGTTAGCTTACTGAAAGTTTGATAAATATATAAACGTCTGCATAAATCTCTTTCCTTTATCACCATTTCAGTTTACAGTTGGAATTTTGATCTATCGAAATACCTCACTTTCGCTTTAATTTATTTTCACTTTTTGATACTGCCATCGACTTTCCGACGAATCGGTTGTAATGAAACTGAGGGTGACTCGTGACAAATTCGTTATGAAGAATCGCCAATGCGCAAAACTATGAAGACAATATTTTTATCGATTCATGGATATTGAAATGAAATGCCAACTTTTAACAATAGGAGCATTAAGAACAACACTTCAATGAAATTGTTTAAACAAAAACGCAAGAATATTACAAAAACGTATATAAACGTAAGAATATTAAACAACGAATGTCACATTAAATTTTGAAACCTTTGGAAAGGAGGACAGGCAACAAAAATTAATGAGTGAAAGTCATTAAAGAAAGAATACTTGAACGTAATTTCTAGTTTCAAATCATAATATAGATTCAGATTAACCATGCTATGCTTTCCACACTTAGTTATATTATTGATAATTAATACGTACAAATTTCAACCTGTATTTCTGAATTCTGGTTTGTATTAATTCGGCCTCTTGTCCCAATCTTTCGTAATAATCACGTCACTTCTCGAGGGAGCGTTTTGCTCTCTATATTTATTCTTCGCTGCGTAAAAGATATGGAGAAGATACACAATATCAGGAAAGAGGAACTACCAGAATAAGGCACACCGCATCTGTTGGTTATTTTCCGTTAATTCTTGTTTTCTCCGCTCGAGACCATTAATACCTAGATAACAGAACATTTCCATTTCCTCTGTTCTTACCAATTTCCTTCTTTTACGCAATACATTATTTTTGCACGATTGTTCGGTGCATATTCAAGAAACGGAGAACAACTATCGAATTCCTCCAGTTCCTTCATAAAAAATAAATTCAAAGAAAAGTCAATTATTGTACCACATACAATCAGGATATTACTCATAAAGTACATGAGAGCAAAATTACAACCAGAAAGTTGTTTCGTTATCTGTACTAGCTATCGCACTAATTGAATCAATGTTTCCTCTAGTTCTTGCCATGCAGAACATCCGGTTTCCAACTTCAGCTAACCTAGTATCTGTTTCAGAACTTGGTTCAAACATCTTATTTCCTTACTCTAACGAAGTCCTGTTATTTATTCCCCTCGTTACATGATGCCATTTCGTCCTGGAACCCGTTCTTTCAACGAGAACCTCCATCACTCGTAATGAACGTCCACGCGAGAAAATAAGTAACCCTCCGTAATCTGAATTATTACTCCACAAAACTTATGGGCAAACGCAAGGGAAATCCGGAACGATGGTTTCGGATTCAATACCTGCTATCGCGCACAGCGAATCGGTCATTTTCTCGCCCGGAGACGAGAGGAGAGGAGTGCCCGGTTCGAGACGTCCAGTGGCGCGGCCAGGACTCGAACAGACGCTCGACGACGCGGCGCGGCGAGCCAGGGGGCGAGCGGGCGGTGGGCGTGGCGAGCGGGCG